TAGTTAGATCGTAGCTTTGGCAAAATGTGTTTAGATGCACGTATAAAACGATCTGTTCATGCATACACTGAAGTTGCTTTGTCATTATTCAAACATATAAAATTTGGAAGGAATGCGTGACTTTAGTTACATTAGTGACTTGTAGTGTAACCATGGAGTTCCATGGAGTTCATTATACAATATTTCACTTCTAACTAACTAACTAACACTTCCAAGCCCAGAGCAGTTTCTATATGTACCACGCCACAGCAACTTAATAATGTCCATCGTGGGCACGGGTGGCCCAGTCGTCTAAGGCGCTGCAATTCGCTGTGCAGAGTTGCGTCCCTTGGGCACACCAGAAACCTATGATTATGGGTTCGAATCCTGGTTCGCCCTGATTATGTTTCTAGGTTTGTCAGCACCATACCCGTCCTCGTGGGTTTCACCGAAGTGGTAAATGTCTGAGACCTGCATCACTTCGGGCTTTCCTCCCACATTTAGCTGACATGCCGTGATATAACTGGAATACTGTTAAAAGCGATGTTACACCCAACTCACTCTCTAATAATGTCCATCTATTCACTTTGGAAAAGGTTCAACACTGCTTCCGTATCTACATATATACATCACACAACACGACTCTGTATGAGACATCACAAATGTGTTTATTTTGATAAAACCATGATTGTTAGTTATTTAATGACGCACTCAGCAATAATCCAGATATAAGACGGACGTCTGTAATCGAGTCTGGACCTGACAATCCAGTGATTGTCATCATGAGCATCAATCTACACAATTTGGATACAATGACATACAACCAAGTCAGCAAGTCTGACCAATGAGTACTTGTTTAATACAGCACACAATAACATTGTTATTCCCATAAAAAATTGTGTCAGTCCAACAACCAAGTCAGCAAGTCTGACCAATGAGTACTTGTTTAATACAGCACACAATAACATTGTTATTCCCATAAAAAATTGTGTCAGTCCAACAACCAAGTCAGCAAGTCTGACCAATGAGTACTTGTTCAATACAGCACACAATAACATTGTTATTCCCATAAAAAAATGTGTCAGTACTACAAAAAGTGTTTCCTTAAAAAAAGACTTTCTCTTCATTGTTGTCGGCCATAATCACAACTCTGGACTGTATCACCCAGGTCATCATTGCACAACATGTTCCCATCAGCAGGGTAACTACTACGCACCATGAGACTGACAGTCGTGAGAAACCTCCATTTCCTGTCACTAGGATAACCATGTCTGATAGAGCCTCTCAGCCTGGGTGTATACCCTGGTAGATATGACGTGATGACGACAGCACGGATGGGAACTCTCTCACCAAGATAAAGGTCATCTATCATTATGTTGACACTGTGCCACTTCAGCGGCCGGTATTGACATGGCTAGTCACATGTAACAAGCAGTACCAACACAACTCACTTATAGTTTTAGGTGTCACCTGGAGAAAATGTCTTGACTTCAGGACTGATCATTTCGGGGGCTGGGTACTGGATCCATGGTATTTTTAATGAAACACAGTGGCAAAAGTAACTTATATGTTCTTATTTTTTATATTTTAGAGTGAGAGAGAATGATTTCAAACCATATTTAGCAACATTCCTGCAATATCACGGCTGGGGACACCAGAAATGGGCTTCACGTATTGTGCCCATGTGGGGAATCGAACCCAGGCCTTCAGCGTGGCAAGTGAACGGTTTAACCACTCTGCTATCTGACTGCTACTTATACTTCAAAAGCACATTCACAAAACTCTTCTCTATTGCTTTAAAGATTACTCCGTAAGACAAAAAACAAATATATGTTTCTGGTTGCCATACCAACCCTAATCTTGAGCCCCGACCACAAACCTTGTTTCTTATTTGTCAAGACTTGCACCATAGCATATATCACCATCCCTGTATTTTCACAAGCATAATTTTCCTATTCTGCCACTATCGTAAATTGGTTGCATTTCACTGTAAATCGCGGAAAGACTTTTAAATTGAAATTTAAACAAATTTAAACCCAGCTCACCAACTTTAGTGCTCATTTAAAGAGAAATATGTGGTTATTTATGTTCCCCTCAAGAGATTTGAAAGGGTTCAGAAAGTCTTATGTGTGACTTTATGTTTTCCCATACTCTCCTCTATCTTCAGTAGTAGTTCTTTGTTGTGTTCACAGTTAGACTTCCAGGCTGTGAACCATGGTGCCCAGATCAACATCATTACCCAAAAATATTAATTATATTTTTTATAAAGACCACAATTATTTTGCCATGGAGTATATACGAGGGGCGATCAATACGTTTTGCAACTTCAATATAAGACCAAGTCGCAGAATATCTTTTACACTTTTATTTTTCAATACAATCTCCATTCACCTCAATACACCTATTCCATTTGTCCTTCAAGCTTTTAATACCACTTTTATAGAAATCCGCAGATTGACCCTCTTAGCACGCCTCTGTGGCAGCCTAAGTCTGGGCTGTAGTGTGGGTGATTTAACTGTACATGATTAATAAGTTTGGTTTAACACTACTTTGTACAGTATTTCTGTATTATCAAGTCGTACACCCCTCTTTTATATAAATAAGTATAAAATCATTGCAACCCCCAACCCTCCATCATGATTATTTAATCAGACCTTTAATCCATATGTGTAATTAGGTGTGTATCAATTTAGGAATTAAATTATTGACCATGTGGGATATCTCTGTTTTATTTTTCAATGTTATTACAGAAATATAAACAGTTTTAAAGTCATTTATTGTCATTCAGGTTGAGGATTTCATGTGCAATGTATACATATATATTCAAATCAGTTTCAATTCCACATATGTATGTTTTGTACTTAGTAATCAGTTAGCATTATCCTTTTCATTATAAGTACATTATGGATTAATATTTCCATAAACAGGAAAAAGAAAGAACCTGCTTCTGTTCACATGTTAATGTCCTATCATGACCCAGTTTATCATCAATGATCATAATAAATATTAACCACCCAGTAAATATACAGCTGGCAGAATTTCTACACCAATCCCACTGAGTTTTATTTATTTATTTATTTATTTATTTAACGTCATATCTCCACACCACACAGGGGCATACTCCCTTGATTTCATTCTCATCTCCCTGGGAAGTATACAACTCAAGCTGTGTGTGAGGCACTAGAAGTAAATTGCAGGTTGTAAACATTAAACTTCTTGATTTATATTTAGCTGAATACACTTCTAAAAACTCATCTTACACTTTCATAAAAATTAACCTTTCCATAATTACATATTCAGACCAAGTAAATCAGTTATTCAGCTCACCATTATTCCAAATGGCATTACCAAGTCTCAGGTTCCCATCTGACCATGAAAACACTATTACCATCCAGAGTTGCTGCACTTGTGTCTCAGCTGATGGAAACAACATTTCTGTGAGTGACATTTAAATGTATCACCATAACACACTTTCTAAAAATAATCTTATGAATTTTACATAACAAGAAAGACACAATTTTTATGGATAACAACTTCTTTAATACTGTAAAAAGCAACGTTTCGGCATAGATCTTTATACCGTTGTCAAGCAAGGTATAAGGATCTATACCGAAACGTCGCTTTTTACAGTATTAAAGAAGTTGTTATCCATAAAAATTGTGTCTATCTTGTCATCCATCAACTTCTAAGTAATGCCTATCAAACAATTTTACATAAGTTTTGATGCAGTACAAAGCAGAAATGGGCGTGAGAATCTTAATGTGACTAGGCCTTCTATTCATTATTTTAATGGCAGCTTGTATTTGGATGCAAAAAATACTGAATGGAAACATGTCAAGGAAACTTATTCAGGGGTAGTGACCCAAGTGTCACAACTCGACTCGCACTGAAACGAGACAAGCATTGTGTACATATGTTTTCAAGCACATACCTTGCTTCTTTGAAAACGACCTACCCATTGGGTTAACACACAATTTATAGTCACGAGTACATCCTTAAGTACACAAAGTGTATGAGGGTGAACTGGACAGACATTTACATGTGATAACATATTACAGTCATATCTTTCACTGGAAACTGATACTAGTTTAGCCATATATGATTGCATACCAAGAGTCCGAAGTTGACCTGATAGCAATGAAACAATACCCATCTAATCAGTGTGGTAATTAACTGTTACACTGACGCTGGTTCAAAATGGTGTTTGATTGACAAGCTTGTTTAAACAACTTGTGTGGCAGGTACTGCAGCAGGCATTTTGTATGCTGCACCTTAAGTTATGGACTACTGAATATAGGTCAAGATAAGCATTTTCAAATGACAACAACCACCACAGTCATTAAACAAACAGAAGGTCCAGTTTCATCTCGCTGCCCTTAAACGACGTCCTCCTAGTTCAGTGCTGTCCCAGGAGATTTGATATGTAATCAATAAACACGCAATAATTCTACCGAAACATGAGCTGGGTGAAACAATACACTCCTCCATGTACTATACGGGGTTGAAGACAGGCCACATGTTGCCGGGATAAACATGAAATGTACTGAAACATAGGCCCGAAACATATACCAACTACGAGAGCATGTCGATCGCACCGCTCATAATATCAGCTGTTCGTGTATGGTTGATTTATCACCTGATTATTGCCTGTGGTCATTCCATGCGGAACGACAGTAAGCTTCCGATTGCGAAACATGGAACACCCTTTGATCGTATATATCATATAATCAACACCAATTGAACTCATACATCACATAACTACGCAGGTTGACATATATTAATTACAGGTAAGTACTGCACGTGCAACAGCTGTTCCACACAGGTTAAACCGGCGACAGCAACAGCCCCCATTCAACAGTTGTTCGGAAGCTATGCAAGGGACGTTGAAAGTTGACACAATATACAGTCACTGGGTTTAATATACTTCAAACATAAACACCACGACCCACGATGATAAACAATCATATATATACATACAAACATGAAAATCACAAAATGTAAATAAGCGTTAAAACACTTACCAAAGTACACGGGGCGCCCGCAATTCCCGCATACGTTGCTTTGCATGTCTGGGGTGGGTGAACTGCGCCCTGCCCCCAGATTGACTGTTAGAGCCGAGCCGAAACACGGCCCAGTTGATAATAATATAACGCAAACAATTCACTGAAGCGTTGTAGGTGTGTATAGTTACTCTTCGCCCATGACACCACTACGGCATAGTTCCGAAGGCTGTGACACCGCGTACATCCACTGAGTGATTCTAGCTGAAAATGCGTTCAATTATTAATGCTTTTACGCGTTGTGGTTTTTCAGACGAAAGTGTGCCGTAGATCCTCTACATTTCCATGCGATCTCACTGAAAAAACTCAAACCACGGTAGCCAAGAGTTATCGGGGTGATCCATCTACCAAAGACAATAGGTAAGGCAAGTTCGCACAGGACAGCAACGGACGAGTCCATTCACTACAGGAATCTTCTGCGAACACAGACATACGCAAGATCGATAAACGCTCAATATATGTGATTGAGAGCTAGGCGTTTGAAATGCTATTTTCTGAACACTTTCGCATTCCTCAATTTCCTGTCCAAGTATGGACCTGCCTGTGAGAACATGTCACCAGCGCGTCAACTGGACACTGGCTATTTGTAGGCGTGACCCTGGCGGACATGCCGTGCACACGGTGAGCTTCCCAGGTTAAATACATTAGGGATCTCCATCCATGAACTTTTACTTCCTTCCATGACGGTGTTCGGGAAAGGTTAATGGAAGTTCGAGACATAATCACCGTTTTAAAAAAAATAAATGTCACGTGAAAATAATACGCGCATGTATATCAATGTACTTACTCTTTTATATCAAACGTTAAATATATACACACAACAGCTAATCAACCACCTGTCTGACGAAACCGTCTAACAGCTTAATTATTTCCATGTGAGTCATGACATGAAATGCAGCTCGCAAGGAAGCACAACTGAAATTGCACCACAGAAACAGAAACTGGGCTGGTTGGGTAGGCTTGTGGTTACAGTGTTAACTCGTCACGCCGAAAACCCGAGTTCGATTCCCCACATGGGTACAATGTGTGAAGCCCATTTCTGGAGTCTCCCGCCGTCCCGCCGTGATATTGCTGGAATATTGCCAAAAGCAATAAAACAATACCCACTCACTCAAACAGAAACTGTTTTTCCAGTTTTACACAGGTTTACTAGAGTCACTGGTCACTTTTTCTCATGCTTCCGTGTTCGAACCTGTAGAATAGCTGTCATACGCAATACTTGAATACATGATCCTGATGAGTGAGTGAGTATGGTTTTACGCCGCTTTTACCAATATTCCAGCAATATCACGGCGGGGAACACTAGAATTGGGCTTCACACACTGTACCCATGTCGGGAATCGAACCCGGGCCTTTGGGTGACGCGTGACGCTTGAACCACTAGGCTACCCCACCGTCCCCCTGATCAAGGTGAATGTCATGGATAGCCAAACGTGATCTTTAAACATGTGATGAGGTCGCGTGTTGCCAATATGCATCCCCCTTCTCCCTCTTGCAACCATCCAACCTTATCGATCTTCTCGATATAATGTTGTTATGGCAATCGCGTGCCGTTTGGTGGTATTGGTGGCATATTATGTATCGGTGAATAACTGAAGGTTGTTTGATGCCGCTGTTAGAAACATTCCAGCTATGTATTGCCGTAAATAACCGAGTCTAGACCAGGCCAACCAGTGGCGGAAAGTATGAGCAAAGGCCATCGCCGTCGGGACACGATGACACGCAGTTGGCCAAGTTACCGATCCATTTTAGCAGCCTCATAACGTCGTGCATAAGGTACTGGGAGTCATTTCTGTAGGAAATTCACAAGGGTTTGCTTCTGTGTGAAGTGTTACATGTAGCTCGGCTGTGTTGGGCGACGGCTGTGTGAGAAGTGTTACGGGTAGCTCGGCTGTGTTGGGCGACGGCTGTGTGTGAAATGTTAGGGTAGCTCGGCTGTGTTGGGCGACGGCTGTGTGAGAAGTGTTACGGGTAGCTCGGCTGCGTTGGGCGACGGTGGTGTGCGAAGTGTTACATGTAGCTCGGCTGTGTTGGGCGACGGATGTGTGTGAAGTGTTACATGTAGCTCGGCTGTGTTGGGCGACGGTTGTGTGTGAAGTGTTACATGTAGCTCGGCTGTGTTGGGCGACGGTTGTGTGTGAAGTGTTACATGTAGCTCGGCTGTGTTGGGCGACGGCTGTGTGTGAAGTGTTACATGTAGCTCGGCTGTCTTGGGCGACGGTTGTGTGTGAAGTGTTACATGTAGCTCGGCTGTGTTGGGCGACGGCTGTGTGTGAAGTGTTACGGGTAGCTCGGCCGTGTTGGGCGACGGTTGTGTGTGGAGTGTTACATGTAGCTCGGCTGTGTTGGGCGACGGTTGTGTGTGAAGTGTTACGGGTAGCTCGGCTGTGTTGGGCGACGGTTGTGTGTGAAGTGTTACATGTAGCTCGGCTGTCTTGGGCGACGGTTGTGTGTGGAGTGTTACATGTGTTGGGGTAGCCAAAGGTTAAAACGTTCGCTCGTCAAGCCGAGACCCGGGTCCCTATTCCCCACATGGGTACAGTGTGTGAAGCCCCCGCTGTGATATTGCTAGAATATTGCTAAAAGCGGCGTAAAACCATACTCACTCACTCTGCGAACTTCCAACTGTCAATTATCTCCCAGAACATAACTTGTGTTATCTTACCCCTATGTCACAATGTTGTGATCTGATTGCTTTACGTGATTTTGCTAAAAAACTTTCTAGTCATGCGGAGAACTCATAAACCTATCACGAACCCGTACATTAACATCAATGGCTTGACCTTCGTCGCAGAAATGTATACACGGAATTTGAAGTACCCTGTTATTATTTAACTCATGGAATTCTTATTAATGGCATATTACTGAAATGCAGGGTGAATTTGATACCACGGAAGACAATACAATTCTCACTGAAGCCTTTTGGAACGATGGGTTTGCATGTTCGAAGTCTGAAAAGTGTCATGGAACACGATGATAACGCATATCGTTCTGTGATGAATTATAAGGCAAACACAACATGCCTCTGTCACAGAACATCATTAGAAATAAACACACTACAAATGGTACATCATTTGTCAAAGTATATCCAATTCCTTTAGTTGACCTTAAACGAAATAGTATAGCTGTTCGGTATTGTATATACGTGGCACTGTTTATAGTATTGGCACTATTTACGTTCGCGCTCTTTAGCAACCGGAATTTCAGAACATTTACTGCATTGTCCGTATTGGTGATGGCTTACTTTATTTGATTTGTGACAGAGCTACTCTCAGAAGAAAATGGATTTTTTGCAGGTGTTAACAAATATCCATTATTTCGAAACTCCTTTGTGGCGTGTTTTTACGATCTGAATATTTGAGTAACCCATTTTGATTTGTTCCAACAGAAAGAAAACGTCTAAAAGTACCACAGCATGCAATGCGATCATCGATTAAGTTTACTAAACCTAATATACACTACGGGTTGTGCGAATGCTTTTATCTCATTTATAAGGGACTCTGACAGTGAATCGTGTTTCTTAGACATTCCTCCACATGAAAACAATTACCGATCACAGCGGTATAGCGAGGGGGATTGTTAACAGGTACCCTACCTACAGCGAAGGACAGGGCAAATTCGATATACCGTATATCGATCCCTGGAGCTTCCACGGTGCTACGTCGACTACAGAAGTAGAGAGAGGTGTTTGTATGAGGAGGAGGCCCATCTATCAGCCTCGACCCGAGAACAAGCAATTATACTAGTGTGATCCGCATGCGACTAAGACCAATGCTTGTGCATGGTTTGAGGTAATTCAATTGTCAGTCAAGCAGGGGGTTGCATTGGACCTGTAAATAACGCAACGATCTGAGCGTGCCGTTTGCTTGAATAGTTTGTTGATTTATTGGTGAAAAAACGTGTTCTATTCGTTTCTTTACGTTTGTAAAACCTAACGTAGTTTTCTTTAAAGTAATTTCTTTGAACTTCGTAATCCAATTTTAGGCACATGACGTGGTTGTAAGATGTTAACGTGTTTACCATGTCGCAAGATAGGAGGTTAGCTTATTGTGAACCATAAAGTAGGTATGTTTATTTGACTGTTTTTGTTATCAGTGACCTTTTTAGTTTGCAATATGACGTCAAGTCTTTATGAATTTGATTCGGTCATTAAATATATACGCATAGGCGGTCTCCCCTTTTGAAAACCAAATGTAGTATGTGTAGACCGCCCCCCACCACCACCACCACCACCACACACACACACACACACGCACCACACACACACACACACACACACCGAAAACACCCTGGCAATACCAATGCATCTCTGCATGTTTTCGTAAGTAGTGAAATAAAATGAGGGTTGATTTAACCTACAACAACCAGAGTATGTTTTGCATGGAAGCACTGAATATATTACATTGGCTACACGATGTGGTAACATTATGTGGAAGTGCGTCTGTTTTTGTTACACACACACACACACACACACACACACACACACACACACACACACACACACACACACCACACCCTTGTACATGCTAGGTCAGCCCTTGATAAGCGTATATACCTCTGCACAACTTACCACCACTCAAGACCCGTGAAGATCCGGGGTAGAATAGGTCTTCAGCAACCCATGCTTGCCGTTAGCGGCGACTAACGGGATGGGTTGGTCAGACTCGCTGACTTGGCTGATGCAAGTCTTTGTATCCCATAGCTTGGCTCAATGCTCATGATGTCAATCACTGGATTGTCTGGTCCTGAATCGATTAGTTACAGACCGCCGTCATATACAGCTTGAATATTGCTGAGCCCGGCGTTAAGCAACAAATAAACAAATACCACCACTCAACCCCTGGAATATATAATTTTGTGAGCGAGCAGCTTTTCTTGTACAGTTACGTCTCTTCCATATGCGAATTATGATTTTGCTGAAAGTGTGGTCTAGTTTGTTGTATGGGTTTCAACTCTCTAGACGCTCTCCCTGTCAAACGTATTTCGTGGTCAAATAGACTACGCTCGTCAATCTTGTAACCAGTCTAGGTCTAGAGTGCGTGAGTGAGTATGTTTTTACGCCGCATTTAGCACTATTCCATCATCATCGCACCGGTGGACACCGGAAATGGGCTTCACACACTGTACCCATGTGGAGAATTGAACCCGGATCTTCGGCATGACGAGCGAACGCTTTAACCACGAGGCTACCCGACTCTTCTATTTCAGAACCATAGGCTCGAAACTCTAATACTACAAAGGTTTAAACTCGTTTTTCATGCCATCAAACACTGGTGTATCTGAATTGTGTGACGGGCATTTCTTAGACGTTGACGGGTGACAAAGTAGACACATTTCGGATAACAACGTCTTTAATATACTTTAATATATATTAGTACATTAAAGAAGTTGTTTTCCATATAGTGTGTCTCCTTTGGTTACCTGACCGGACTCGATTACTTACATATTGCCGTGAAATAGCAGGGATATTGTTGACTGCGGCGCAAAACAAGATACACATATTTACCGTTAAAACAACAAACGGTACCATCAACACTTATTATCAGACCCGTGATTATAGGTCTTCTGCAACCCATGCTTGCCGTAAAAGGCGACTATGCTTGTTGTAAGAGGCGACTAACGAGATCGGGTGATCAGGCTCGCTGACTTGGTTAATGCATGTCATAGTATCCAAATGTTCGTGGATCAATGCTCATGATGTCAATCACTGGATTGTCTGGTCCAGACTCGATTATTTACAGACCGCCGTCATATGGCTGGAATATTGCTGAGTGCGGCGTTAAACAACAAACAAACAACGAAACAAACAAACTTACTATCATGACGACGCATAACTTAAAACAAGACAACCCTGAAAACGTTCTCCATCATGTTTTACTCGCCCTGATGGTGACATTGGAACTTGTTGGACAAAAATACTTAGCGCACGCGTTGTCTCGTTTTAAACTTTAAATATATTGGACTGTTAACTCATATTTCAGGTTCTTCATAGAATTATGTTGAATAACGCATACTGTTCATTCCCTTCAAAATTGGTTTGATCTCAGAATCAGTAATTGAATTGTTATCATTTTCTAAAGATTGCTGGTGCACTCACCCTTTTTCTAAACACAAATAAACAATCCAAATGAACATCTTATGTGCTCCTTAATATGTGTCAGTAGTAAATTATACTAGTAATAATAATATGTTGGGTTTCTATATCTATGATTTTAGAGAAGCACCGCCATACATGTGTATGGATCTATGAGGAAGTGTTAGTCCTGTAAGAGTTACTTCCCTTACCAATGATGTTGTTTGATATACCATAAAATCTCTTTTCGTCATCAGAACAAATTCAATACAATTCCATGAAGTTAATCAGTTGAGCATTTCTCATAAAATTATTTTAGTTTGGTCAGGGATTGGGTGAATAAATCTTAACATATTATCAAGTACATGTAGACAGTTGTTCTACCCATAGTAATTCAGTCATTTCAGCTAAATGATGTCAAAGCCATACAACAATAGACAAATTTAAACAAAATGTGGATTTCTCTTGTCACATGGCTCTTGTACAATTACCAGAGTATACATATAATTATATAAATGTTTTTTTGTCTGGTAATTAACAGATACCAGTAGTTCATGCGACAGTATAAAAAAACATACTATATACAAAATGCAAACTGATTTATTCTTTGTTGATCTCATATTAATTTGTTGATAAAATGTTCATATGTCATCACCTGCAGCATCACCATCATGGTAAAACTGCATTAGCTAAAATACCCATAGGTCATCTGATGTAGTGGCTAAAAACATAACTTGCTGCACAGTGCAACACCCCGACCACAGGGCCACTAATGACCCCACTGATTCATGAAATAATCTGGCACACCAAGCTCTCCGCAATATTCATGTTATAAGACAGAAGTCCGTAAATAATCGAGTCTGGACCAGACAATCCAGTGATTGACATAATGTGCACCGGTCCGCACAATTGGGATACAATGATAGCAATGAACCAAGTCAAGTAATTCTAAGGTAAATTTCAAATAAAATATAGAAAGGTAATTTATATGTACACCATAATTTTATTTTTAAAAGTTGAATCTGCGTAGCAAATACGATTTTATTTGCGTCCCAAATACCCTTTAAATAGACACCCGAATTCCACTGATCAAAAGGGTGGGGTGGGGTAGGGGTATTGTGAGAACAGACGATTTCATGTCTTACAACAAAGCATCCTCCATGCATGACTCAAGGTCTCAATATCCAGCCCGATGATGAGGGAACGTCTTAAGGACATGAAAATAAATTAAATTGAGTAAGGAAATTAATTACGACTTAGATACATTTAGATTATGAAATTTTGATATTATATATAGACATACTGATATCATGCTCTTCTTTCAGGATTTTCTTAAGCTTTCTGTAAGAATAGGTTCATTTTCCCTGTGCAATCTACGAATGATATCTCTCAATGTCCGCTTGTCAAAACTGTCTCGCTTGGCCTTTTTCGTGTGTTTTGGGATGCCCCCCTTTGGTACGTCATCTGCAGGCTTTACACGCATATCATGGGAGATAAATCGAATAAAGTCCCTTGAGACATGTTAGTTGCATGCAATGTTCTCTTTGTGAAGCAACCGAGAGATATCGAGGTTGTTTTTCCTTTTGATTCATGTTTAAAAGACAATGCACCTTACGAATAATATCAGAGGCATACTTTGACAACATATCTCGAGGTAATACAAGATTTCTCGCCTGTATGTCTACTCTTGGTGAAACAAGAGGGTGACCTCATGTCATGCATGCAGGAAGCATGTTTCACACACATTACGTCATTGTTGTGAGACTTAAATCCTTTGTTCCACCCCCTACTACAGTGGCATGCCGACTACATAATAATAGTGACGAAAGTGTGTTTATTCCGACATGAATAATAAAAAACTTGTATTTCTAGCTAGGTCGATGCATATTATTCAATAATGAACAACAGTTGTATAGACGATGGGGGTAGGGGGCAACCCCCTTGACCAGCCCCAGTCCCAGTCCCTGAAAATACTATCAAGGGGACCCGTGGGTAGAATAGGTCTTCAGCAACCCATGCTTGCCGTGAAAAGCGACTATGCTTGTTGTAAGAGGCGACTAGCAGGATCGGGTGGTCAGACTCGCTGACTTGGTTGATGCATGTCATAGAATCCCAATTGCATGGATCGATGCTCATGATATCAATCATTGGATTGGCTGGTCCAGACTCGATTATTTACAGACCGTCGTCATGTAGCTGGAATATTGCTATATACAACAAACAAACTATCAAGGGGGTCTTAAGTTTTATCACAGGATCTACATTTTGCTAGCCGTACATGACGATCCAGTGATTGACATCACATAATTCATAATATTTAAGACCCCCATAAAAGAATTTTAAGGGGCTTGGTCTGGACCAGGTGAGGTGCCCCCGTACCCCCTATCGTTTATACTACTACTTTCGAGGCGTGATCTTGTGTTCAATGGAAAATATTGACGAAATAACGGGTGCCAATATATTGGTTGACAGACTATAGAATGTTTGCTGCTTTTAGCAATATTAAAACAATTAGGTGAGGTGAGGTGAAATTGGGTTTAACGTCGCGTCCAAGATTATTGCACTTATAGCGACGTGCGTGCACGTGTATTTGTGTGTGTGGCTGCTTGTACTAGTCCGGACTGATGCCGATTTATAGTGCTAGCTCACTGAGATACCATGCCGCAGTTTAACATGAATACCCCACTCAGACACAGTATACTGACTCCGAGCCGACCAGTCCTTGTTTTAGCCCCTTAATGCCGAGCGCCAGACAGGGTAACAACAAGTACAATCTTTTAACGTCTTTTTGTATGACGCGGCCCGGGATCGAACCCTGGACCTTCCGCTCTCCGGGCGGACGCTCTACCACAAGACCACGGAGGCGGTCTAAAACAATATTATGATGGAGGGAACAACATAATAGAGGCAAAAGCAATGGAAAAAAATCACACATATATGTATATGAAATGTAACAGCTGTAACCATGGTAACGGTGATTGATGCAGCCTACAGTGGCTCGTCCCCTAAGGGTTTGGGAGAGAAATACACATCCTTTGTCAACATGGAGTAAATGCATCCTGACTGTTTCTTGCCATCGATGTCCAGCTGTGGGGAATGGGATTCAAACTGTCGTGCCACATGGTTGATGACCTTGGTCATCAGCTGGAGCAGGTTGTGTTTTGTCAAGTCAGCATTCTCAATGACGTCACGCAAACCTGTGACAAACCAGGAGCCTGTGGTCGGGCGGCGAAATGCATAGAAACCTGAAAACATTGGGATGTATGCTTAGGTCGGAGTTAAATGGCTTGGTTGTTGAAAACATTGGGATATGTGTTTAGGTTGGAGTTAAATGGCTTGGTTGTTGAAAACACTGGGATATGTGTTTAGGTTTGGTTTGGTTTGTTTCTTGTTTAACGTCGCACTCAGTAATATTCCAGCTTTATGAAGTCGGTCTGTAAATAATCGAGACTGGACTAGACAATCCAGTGTTTGACATCATGAACATTGATCCGCGCAATGTGGATGCAATGACATGCATCCGTTAAGTCAGCGAGCCTGTCCACCCGATCTTACGACAAGCATAGTCGGCAAGATGGATAGCGGATCTTCACGGATCAGGATGTATGTTTAGGTTGGAGTTAAATGATGTAGGTGTTGAAAACGGTTGAGCATTATTATCTGACACAAAACATTAAACTAATCAATGCTCAGTATGTGCGAAGGTCAAATGTTGAGCAACAAACACATTTTTAATGCACGTCCTTGAAGCAGGGAGTTGGTGGTGTACTGGGGTTCTGTTAGAGACACAGCTATAACACTGACATACCTGGAGGGGTGGCATACACGATACACAAGTCCTTGAAGCAGGGAGTGGATGGTGTACTGGGGTTGAGTGAGAGACACAGCTATAACACTGACATACCTGGAGGGGTGGCATACACGATACAGAAGTCCTTGAAACAGGGAGTGGATGGTGTACTGGGGTTGAGTGAGAGACACAGCTACAATACTGACATACCTGGAGGGGTGGCATACAGGATAGACAAGTCCTTGAAGCAGGGAGTGGTTGGTGTACTGGGGTTGAGTGAGAGACACAGCTATAACACTGACATACCTGGAGGGGTGGCATACACTATACACAAGTCCTTGAAACAGGGAGTGGATGGTGTACTGGGGTTGAGTGAGAGACACAGCTATAACACTGACATACCTGGAGGGGTGGCATACACGATACAGAAGTCCTTGAAACAGGGAGTGGATGGTGTACTGGGGTTGAGTGAGAGACACAGCTACAATACTGACATACCTGGAGGGGTGGCATACAGGATAGACAAGTCCTTGAAGCAGGGAGTGGTTGGTGTACTGGGGTTGAGTGAGAGACACAGCTATAACACTGACATACCTGGAGGGGTGGCATACACAATGCACAAGTCCTTGAAGCAGGGAGTGGTTGGTGTACTGGGGTTGAGTGAGAGACACAGCTATAACACTGACATACCTGGAGGGGTGACATACACTATACACAAGTCCTTGAAGCAGGGAGTGGTTGGTGTACTGGGGTTGAGTGAGAGACACAGCTATAATACTGACACACCTGGAGGGGTGGCATACACAATGCACAAGCCCTTGAAGCAGGGAGTGGGTGCTGTACTGGGGTTGAGTGAGAGGCACAGCTATAACACTGACATACCTGGAGGGGTGGCATACACGATACAGAAGTCCTTGAAGCAGGGAGCAGGGGAGATGGTGTACTCTGGTTCAGTCATAGCATCAACCACATCCATATCTTCTGTTACAGTCACCCCTGGGTCCAGCATCACACCCCTGCAGGCCTGGACACAGGAGAAAAGACCATCTTCATAGATAATAATGATAAACCCTGTTCAATAATCATAACTATAACATGTCAATGCAAGATAATAACCAGTCTAGATTATCTGCAAAACAGATTCCATTTAGCGTAAAGGGCAAAAAAGATGACAAAATTATATGACTGGACAACTGAACATTAGCGATGACACCAGGAAAGCATAAGACATCTCTGCTAAACGTAGAGTTCATTGTACGATTCTGACTGTATGACTAGCGTATCACATGTACTGTATGAATCATTGACCTTACACATCAAGCACAGAAGCACCCCTTTCTCATTGTCCATTGGGGCATTTGATAACATACCATCAAAACAACAAACCAGTCTTCAGAATATATATGGATGAGTACTGGTCCCTTCAGTAAAGGTGGTCGATTAATCTTTTTCTCAAATCAGAGGATATTTTTCACTATTCGTCACCCATAATATTCATTTGTAACAACTGTACATTTTAAAACAATGGACCGCCTCCGTGGTCTAATGGTTGAGCGTCCGCCCGCAGAGCGGAAAGTCGGGGTTCGATCCCCGGCAGCATCATAACAAAAGATGTTAAAAGATGGTACTTGTTGTTACCCTGCCAGGCGCTCAACATTAAGGGATAAAAACAAGAACTGGTCGGCTCGGAGTCAGTATACTGTGTCTGAATGGGGTATTCATGTAAAACTATGGCATGGTATCTCAGTGGGCTAGCACTATAAAATCGGCATAAGTCGATAAGACCTACACGCACGCACGCACCACTTGTAGCAATATTGCAGCAATGTGACACTTAAGGACACACCACATAGAATTCACAGAAGAAACATTGCATACTTGTAAAAGAAATATTCTTGGTTTCCCTCTTAAAGATGGACAGTTATCATCTGAGAATTTCTCCACCAGTTCTTCTGTGTAAACTGCCCCCTGTGAGCCGAGGATGATATCTCGTTCCACTGAGACATTGTACCTCCTGGGGTCAACTTGAGTGTACTTCTCTCCGTGGGAGGTAATAGCAACAGCCAGACAGTCACATTCACTATGATCTTCTTGAGATACTGTAACATATATTAAATTCTCACTACAATTCAGATCATTTGTAAATTGTCAAGTGATAATCTCTAAATATGTATTCATGTACAAGTTTGTTTTGTTTTGTTTACAATGACATACGATGGTTGAAAATTGGTAAACATTTTGTGTGGGTATTGTGTTTCATGTTATTTACAACAAGAACGTATAATCTTTCAGCATCCTTTGTGTAAAGAGCCTTTCCCCCAAGCAGGTCAAATATTAACTATTTATTTTTTTATTAAATCAAAGTTAACAATTACGAAATATGTTAAAGTTAACAATTGCCAAACAGTAAATCAAAGTTAACAATTACCAAATATGTGTAAGTTAACAATTTCCAAATAGTAAATGAAAGTTACCAATGACCAAATATGTGAAAGTTAACAATTGCCAAACAGTAAATCAAAGTTAACAATTACCAAACAGTAAATCAAAGTTAACAATTACCAAACAGTAAATCAAAGTTAACAATTACCAAATATGTGAAAGTTAACTATTGCCAAACAGTAAATCAAAGTTAGCAATTACCAAACAGTAAATCAAAGTTAACAATTACCAAACAGTAAATCAAAGTTAACATTTACCAAACAATCAATCAAAGTTAACAATTATCAAAAGGTATGTGAAAGTTAACAATTGCCAAACATTAAACATTAAATCAAAATACATGTATACAATTACCAAACAATAAATAAAAGTCAACATTTACTAAACAATAAATTAAATGGCATCAGGTTTGTTTCACAATAGCAATTTTGTGGACGTGTGTTGATGAGCTCCGAAATGAAGTAATTTTCCAACATGTCCAGCCATATCTCCCCATGTTGGAAGCTGTGGTATATAGAGAATCTTGCCCGAGTGTCTCGGCAAGCCTCGGAGTTTTGCCACTTTTATCAACTCGTGTTGATATATTTTATATCAAAAGACACTAGGGTGAGATTTTATTTATCATCCAACATCATTCTTCCAACTTTTTCAGTTTGTAGACAGTAATAAGCAGTGTCTTCAGCGTAAGAAGTACTGCTAACAGCTTCAGTAGCAGAGCCATTAGTGATGTCATTTGATTGTGACGTCATGGTCACGATGACCTGCCAAGCATTGTGATGCACTATCATTACAGCGATATATACGCTGTAGATATCGCTCGATCTCATCCAAGCAATATCTCCTATAGGAGCCAGTTTGGGATGATAAATCATGATAAAACACTAGTTTAATACCTCTTACAGCATGTCTTAGTAACATTTGTTGTTGAGCATATATATACCCATTAAAAAACAACAACGTTTTTTCAGGTAATATATGTATGTGATTTAACCCTACCTGCAGTGAACCAATCCCTCATATCCGTATCAGTCATGTTGTATTTGGTGCGGATATCCTCGAATCCAAGTTTCCGAAATGTTTTATAAAAACTTTCGGCATCTAAATCTGCTCCAACTCTGGGTTGGACATGTTGAAACTTCACATTACACACAATCAGGGCCACACCTCGCTGTGAGTGTCCAAAGTCATACTGGTCTGTTCTGTCCATTTCCTTCTCTTCCTCATCTTCATCTCCAGACATCAAGGTGCTGGGGACACAGGGACATGGAGACACAGTATGAGTGAATGAGTACAATGATTCTGACAGTAGGTGAGGTGAAATCCAAGATTATTGCACTTATATAGCGATGTGAATGCACGTGCGTGCGTGCGTGCGTGCGTGCGTGTGTGCGTGCGTGCGTGTGTGATGACACCATGCAGATCCTGGTAAGAATGGATCCTCAGGAGCCCATACTTGTCATGCGATCACAAACCCATGTGATCGGGTGGTCAGGCTTGCTGGCTTGGTTGTTGCATGTCATCGTATCCAAAATGCGTGGATCGGAGATCATGATGTCAGTCACTTGATTGTCTGGTCCTGACAGGATTATTTATAGACCACCCTCTTATAGCTGGAAACTGCTGTGTGTGGTGTTTGACAACAAACAAAGAAAACCATAAGCGATGATGTATATATAAATGTACCATCCACTACATCAAATATACTGAAACAGGTGGTGACTGGAGCAATTTCAGGTTTAGACAATGGATGCTTACTATACACAGCTCTTCACTGTATCTTTTAATTTTTTTAGGCTGCTCAGACCAAAATCTTTTTCTGAAAAGACAACAACAAAAAAACAAATAATTCATGATAATAATGACATTTCATGAATCCTTATACACGTATATAGATAAACATCTCTTCTACACACCAATGACCTATTGGGTAAAATAGATGAAATAGGCCATAATCAGTTGTTAGATTTAAATCCAATTTTATTTTAAACTTTGAGATAGGAAGAATTTTTATTTATTAATTTTCATTTTTTTAAGCAAACTTTTCGAAGTACCTGCATGGATGTGATTTGCATGAAGCATGAACGTTTTGTAGGACTACTTATATGGTGCATTTCATCTAGTATAGAAGACCCGTGAAGATTCGGGGGTAGAATAGGTCTTCAGCAACCCATGCTTGCCGTTAAAGGTGACTATGCTTGTCGTAAAAGGCGACTACCGGGATCGGGTGGTCAGGCTCGCTGACTTGGTTGATGCATGTCATCGATCCCAATTGCTTGGATCGATGCTCATGATGTTAATCACTCGATTATTTACAGACCGCCGTCATATAGCTGGAATATTGCTGAGTGCGGCGTTAAACAACAAACCAACCAACCAATCTAGTACAGAAAGAAAGCAACACATGCAGATATTTTCTTTATCTGTTAGTACATGGTGACAATATGATGATGTGAGGTGGGAATAAAATCTGATTACTAGAAAAGTGTTTGCATTATATGGTAAAACAGAAGCAATCCCACCCCACCATTTCCTGTGTGCCCAAACCATTCCCATCAGAAACATGCACTGTGCGCCATTTTGACATCAGGTGATCTCACACATTCCAAGTGCAGTACAACTTTGAAACAGAAGGTCCTATAAGCCTCCAGCTACCCTAGTAAGAAGGTTATAATCAGCTGGGCATGAATTTTTAAAACTTAGTTTATGAATCCTCCAACACAATTAAATTGAAATGTTAAAAAAAAAAATCTTTTTTGTTGACCAGAGTAAAATGTATTTGTTGCCATAGCTTTCAATGATGTTTGTGAATTTTTTAATGTCAAAATCAGCAATGAACCTCATTTACTGTCGCTATCAATATAAATAAAATACTAGTACTGAAAATACTATGATTAAATCCTGGTGGAAATTCATCTTCGATACTTCCAAACAAAGTGAATTGTGACAAATCCCTATTTATCCTGCCCTCATTTTTTTTCTAACTACTTAACATTTAGAGGAAACTGATACAAATATTTGAAATTTTATTTTATAATTTATTTTTTCACCGACCTACCGACATGAAAGTGGGGGTAAACAAATCAGCAATCACCCCCTCAAAATGCTTTAACCACTAGGCTACCCGACCGCCCTGTCATTTCAAGAGAGAATGACCCTCAAAGTGACCTTGGCATTTGACACAACCTTGATGTGTGTGTGTGACAAGTATTGAGTTAGTTAGTTAGAGTCTGTCATCAAGGATTGGAATATGCTTTGATTTTACATAAACTTTCCTGAAATTTGAGTCATGTTTCATAATGTGACCTCTAGTGACCCTGACATTATACAGAGGTCAGGGCAATTGGGTAGCCTAATGCCTAAAGCGTTCACTCATTCCCCCACCGTGATATTGCCTGAATATTGCTTAAAGCAGCGTAAACCCATACTCACTCACTCACCTATTTAGAGATCCCCCAAAAGTGTGACCTCTAACAATCAGGACTCGGCCCTAGAGATCATGTACACTAAGTTTTGTCAAAATCCAATCATAAATACTCATCCTGCACACAATATTTTTAGACGCCTAATTCATACTGAGTCACCTTGACCACCAAGCTACCCCCCCCCCCCCAATCAGGTATGAAGTCTCTAAGATCTGTCATAAGCATTTGGAGAGTTCAAAAGCAAATCTCTTAGAGGGAGGGGAATGCATGAATACTTGACTGAAAAAAGAGTGTTTTCATGTTAGTAGATTGCATAAAGGGCATTCTGCACATGTTGAGTATTATGCTTTTAAAATAATCTCAATATCATTGATAAGAACATGTTCACTAATTTTGCCTTTGGGAATATTTATATATTTGTTGTGATGCAGATAAGTCAATTGTTCACACAGGCTGAGATAACTCTGCACTACTGACAGATTCTTAATTACCGTATTCGACGTAATAAGCGCCCAGGGTGCTCTCAAAATTAGAAATAGGGGGCTCTTATTAGAATATTATTTTGGTGAAAAAAACAGAGTTGAAAGATAAATTTCGTGGTTTATGCTGACAGCCTGAAATGTTTATGTATGACAGATATATTTTTCTAGAATTTAATTGCCCATAATTAAGGGTGCATATGACACACGAGTGTGTATTGTACGCCAATAAATGTCTTGTGAACATTGATCAATCGGAAGGGGTGCTAATTGAGATTGTTCACTAGCCAATATATTAGCAAATGTTGCCGTGGGCGCTTATTAGAGCGGGGCGCTTATTACGTCGAATATGGTAATTGTTTAAAGCCTGTTTGTTCACACACATGGGATAACTAGTCCTCCAGATAACTAGTTATAAACAGATTACTAAAAGAGGGGTCAGCTGGTCAAATCTTGACCAAGAGAATCAGATACCCCTTTGACAATCCAACTCTCTCCTGCAGTTTCAACTGAATTAGCGTGACAAGGATTTGTCTCATCCTGAGGACAGTGGGCTGACATTGCGAGGGTTAATCTTACAAACTCCTCCCTCCGTCCTTCCTTCCTTCCTTCATCAACAACTGCCTCACTCACTCACTCACTGTGCATCTTACCATCAAGGTCCATACCATCGTCAGCCATGTTTCACTCAAGGTACAGGATACAAGTCACTATCTCCTACAAACCACCCCCTCACCTACTTCACCGCTTCAAGGAAGTGGAAACAGTCATGCAACGTTGCATAAACAACATCGGAATTGTTGCTATTTTTATTTTTTTTATTGATGTCTGTTAAATCAACCACAAAATATGACATGACATAACAAAACAATACTTGAAAATATTTGGTAAATGGACAACCTTTTAATCAAATACCAGTATTACAAAGCAAGTCAAAACAAGTTTTTCAGTCAAAACAAAATATTGACACAGAGTTATTATTAGATCCTTCTTGGAAATGCCCATGACCTTGACCTAGAAATGAATACCTCAGTAGTATCTGACAGAGACTGTTTGTGTCTTTAGAAAGATATGAGTGTCACTCATGCTGCCCCAGTGGATTGCTAAAAAAGAGCTTCTTATTCAGGCGTTGCTTATAGGTGAAGTCACCACAGGTTAAACTCGTCAAACTTACAACTGTATTTTGGTTATATACAAAGTAATAATTACCACATAATTTGACTTGTCATAGAATTCACATTAGGGAAGAGAAGCAGTTATGACCTTCCATTGATCATACAAATTGTTTTTAATAGTTGCATACTTTATAGTGTGCTATGTAATATTCTATTATCAACATATATTATATCTTATAGGACCCCAGAATGATTGAGGTGTGCTTGTGTTAATACTTCCCTGGTGAAGAGTGAGTGAGTTGGGTTTTTCCAGTTATATCACGGAGTGTCAGCTTATTGTGGGAGGAAAGCCCGAAGTGATGCAGGTCTCAGACGTTTACCACTTCGGTGAAACCCACGAGCACGGGTATGGGTATGTATGGGTATGGACAAACCTAGAAACATAATCGGGGTGAACCGGGATTCGAACCAACAATCATAGGTTTCTGGCATGTCCAGGGGATGCAACTCTGCACAGCGAATCGCGGCGCCCCTGTGCCCCCTACCCACCACCCACCACCCCCTCTAGGACCTCTAAGGATAAAAAAATAATGGTCTTGGTTCTCAGGCACCGCCCGCATTACCATAAAGTCCATTTTCATTCTTCAAAAATAAAAAAAATCCTAATACTTAAAAACAATGCAGTCCAATATAGCACACAGTTACTTCCCTTTACATGTGCACTGCTTTACTATGCATCTTGTGTTATGGTCATAGCGGCAATAGGAGTTTGTATGCTTGTTTATGTAGGGAGGCCCTTTCCCAGGTTCAGGTACACAAATGTTTATTCATCTTCCCGAGGTAAGTGAGTTAACTGACTATAAAAGTCCAGTTTCCACCCTTGCCGAACTAGGCTCGTATTATGGAGTTACATTTGGGCTGGACTAACGAGTTTATGCATAGTCCAATCCAAATCGCGCCCCGAAATCGAAATCCGGTTCATAAAGTGTCATGCAGATTTCGGTCGACTGCAGGATTTGCAAAGCATGTGCACCGCTAACTCGTTGTCAACAGATATTTTCCAAATCTTTTCATGTTTTTAATCAAGGTGCTCACGTGATTTGATGCACTTCACAATTTAACACTCGTTTTATCACAATATAGATCAATAGAAGAGGCATAGAAAGGACATAACTCGTAATAGCCACTGGTGGCGATACAATCGAGCCAAGGAATTCCAGCCTAGTTCGGCAAGGGTGGAAACTGGACTTTTAGAGTCAGTTAACTTTCTTGCCTCGGGAAGATGCTGTTTATTTGGTTACATGCTTGTTTGAACAAGCAGAACAAAAGAAGACAAAAACACCGCCCGCACTATATCTTCAAAAGTCATTACCTGAAAACCAATTCTTTTATTTGTTTCAACCTAAAGAACAAGGATAAACAAAAACAACTGCAAACTACAGGAAAAAAACCTGCTCTTTTTTGTATTTATGTAGATGAATGACCAAAGAAATCAAAAGGGTTGGACTGCAATATTGTATTAACCATGTAAGCATGTACAGTACTAAAAAGTGGATCAAACAAATTGATCACAACAGTTCACTACACACATGATACAACTCCACAAATATATTAACAATGGCTGTGTCTGCTGTCTTAGTGATGTCTCTTGCTGTTAGGTAACATAAACGTGATGTGTCAGATCACACTGCACACTGTTCATCCACGGGTCTACACTAAAGTACACACACAACATTGAATGAGTTGTGTTCAACAAGTCTGTCATATGACATATTCAGGAAAATTTATGAAGAGCAGAAAAAAATGTAATTTAATTTTTTTTTTTTCCTGGCCTACAGACCAGGACTTTTCATAAACAAATTGGTAAATCAAAGCTAAAACCATTTAAAACATGTTTGAGCTGACAGGATTTAACTGAACCAAGATATACCACCCATATTTTCCTTTTAAAAGAAATGAGGTTAGGAAATTCAAAACAACAAATAAAATATTTTTTGTTGAACCATTTAACAAGCATATCCTTAATCTAATTGGACAGAAGCTTTAACATAAACCTAATACACTGAACAAGAAGGCAAAAAGTTTGTAGGTGTTTTAGATGAATAGCAATTCTTCAAAATTTCAAAACAATGTATCAGTTATGGCTTTGACATCAACTCATCAGCTTCTTGTTTGGGTGTGAAGTAAATATCCTTGGTCAACATTGAGTAGATACATCCTGACTGTTTCTTGCCGTCAATTCTTGGATCCACGGCTGAAGACTGGAAGGAGAATGCCACCTGGTGGATAACCAGAGTCACCAATCGCAAAAAATCCACACGGGATGGGTCCACTTTTTCCACAATATCCCAGAAAGCCTTCACAAACCAGGACCCTTCTGATGGGCGACGAAATGCGAAAAAGCCTAGAAATGATCAAATAACATTTAAAATGAAAACGTTCATGCAACTATTGTTCTTATACCACAAAGACAAATTCATTATTCAGAATGGATACATATGTCTGATGGCTGCAGGAATACACAAACACAATTCAGGTAATATGAGCAGAATTGAAGTGGGGCATGGTTTGAAGGGGTGGCATACACTATACACAAGTCCTTGAAGCAGGGAGTGGGTGGTGTACTGGGGTTAAGTTAGAGACACAGCTTAAACACTGACATATCTGGAGGGGTGGCATACACTATACAGAAGTCCTTGAAGCAGGGAGTTGATGGTGTACTGGGGTTCAGTGAGAGACACAGCTATAACACTGACATACCTGGAGGGGTGGCATACAGGATAGACAAGTCCTTGAAGCAGGGAGTAGGGGAGATGGTGTACTGGAGTTGAGTGAGAGACACAGCTATAACACTGACATACCTGGAGGGGTTGCATACACGATACAGACGTCCTTGAAGCAGGGAGTGGGTGCTGTACTGGGGTTCAGTGAGAGACACAGCTATAACACTGACATACCTGGAGGGGTGGCATACACTATACAGAAGTCCTTGAAGCAGGGAGTAGGGGAGATGGTGTACTGGGGTTGAGTGAGAGACACAGCTATAACACTGACATACCTGGAGGGGTTGCATACACGATACAGACGTCCTTGAAGCAGGGAGTGGGTGCTGTACTGGGGTTCAGTGAGAGACACAGCTATAACACTGACATACCTGGAGGGGTGGCATACACTATACAGAAGTCCTTGAAGCAGGGAGTAGGGGAGATGGTGTACTGGGGTTGAGTGAGAGACACAGCTATAACACTGACATACCTGGAGGGGTTGCATACACGATACAGACGTCCTTGAAGCAGGGAGTGGGTGCTGTACTGGGGTTGAGTGAGAGACACAGCTATAACACTGACATACCTGGAGGGGTGGCATACACGATACAGAAGTCCTTGAAGCAGGGAGTAGGGGAGATGGTGTACTGGGGTTGAGTGAGAGACACAGCTATAACACTGACATACCTGGAGGGGTGGCATACACGATACAGAAGTCCTTGAAGCAGGGAGTTGGGGAGACAGTATATTCAGGTTCAAGTATCTGTACGGCATCAACAACATCCAAGTCCCTGCTTAAGTCAACCCCATCATCCAGATTTATTCCTCGACAGGCCTAAAAAAAATACAACCCTGTACACGCACTGTCAAACGACCCTTCCTATATATTCAACCCTGGTCAGTCATATATGAAGACTGTGCTATCATAGTGTCATCTTTTGTACAACTTACAATATGCAGTGAGTGAGTGAGTGAGTATGGTTTTACGCCGCTTTTAGCAATATTCCAGCAATATCACGGCAGGGGACACCAGAAATGGGCTTCACACATTGTACCCATGTCGGGAATCGAACCCGGGCCTTCCGTGTGACGAGCGAACGCTTTAACCACTAGGCTACCCGACCGCCCCTACACTATGCAGAATAAGTGAGTTAGTAAAGTTTAAGAACACTTCACACACAATACAGGGGATAGAATGGGCTTCACACATTGCAACCATACAGGGAATCAAACCCTGTTAGTGTCATGCATCAATGCTTTAACCACTGGACTATCCCACCCCATGAAGGTATGAATAGGTTAGCACCCACCCCAAGGGCACTCAAAGCATCAGCCGAGAGAGCTGAAGTCCATGTTGCCAGAGAGTGTGGTGCTAACTGACTTTTTCAAACGCGCTGCACTTTGCATAAGAATTCAAAACTGTGAACCAAGCCTCGCTCCTATCTCGTCCAAATCGAATTATCTGACCTCAGCAAGATGCTCATGCTAGATGATTACAAAGAATAACAACCTGCCAAATAAATGGACATATCGCACACTAAGTGGTATAAGTAGAGATATACAATCTCCTCAACTTAACTTTAAACAATATAAATCCTTAATGCAGCATTATAGTAACATGAGATCAGGAATATAAAACACAGCTGTATATGTCCTGCTTTATCTCCCCTGAACTCAAACATTACTAATCACATAGTTGTTATATGTTACAGGAATATTTTTACTTCTTTTTCACAATTTAGTTTTATGAGTTCATCAAAGCTCTGGAAACCTTGAAAGTGATGTGTGTCAATTTGTTGTCATGGTTATATAGAGAATTTCATCCAAGTGGCCAGACCAACATTTAGTCCCAGAAATAAAGTTCTCGTATTAAAAAATATGTATCTACAAAATAAAATCCCAATGGAGCCCTGAATTTCCT